ACCTCCGCCAGTCGAGGCCTTAACTACTTTCTTATTCGCTCGTTTCAGGCCAGCCTTACGGGCCCATGCATAATGCCACACAGCGCTCCTTACGCATGCTGAACGCTGAATACGCTCCTTCCACCGCTTCTCCTCTCGCGCCATCTTCCTCCACCTCCGCCTCCTCGTGCTGTTCGTCCACCTCCGCCTCCCCGGAACATTGTACCCCGAGAGGAACTGCGGGTCAGAGACTGCGAGGCATATTCGACGCAGACTCGTGGCTCGTGCCTAGATCCATTGGCGTCTGACTCCACTGAATTTTGCTGGTTGAAATATTCTGTTGTTGTAGGACAGTGTACCTATAAAGAATCATATGTTAATATCGTATTATAATACCAATTTTTATCTATTTTTATTTAATTCCTTATATTTAAATTAGTAGATTTTTATTTGGAAAATAGAATTCTCTTGAAAATTGGAGAATATATTTGTTTATTCATATGATTATTGCTCTGTTATTTATATTATATTATATTCAGTCTTTTCAAAAGTGTTGCATATATTACAATGTAATAGTAATAGTAGCATTACTATTACTATCAAACTACTATTAACTTATAAAATTATAATTTTCATAGGAAGTTTTTAATCTTTTCCTTTTAATCATCTCCAAAATCAAAATTTCTTCCAATAGAGAACTGGAAAGAAACATAAGAATGAAGGAGTTCATGCGAAGAAGATTCGCGTAGAATTCTCCGGCTTTAGTCGGGCGACGCCGATGCGCTAATATAACAAGAAACGTGGCGGCTGTTGCGCCGAGCGTACGGGAGCGAAGTAGCCTCGCTTATGGTCCGGTGGTGCCCGAGGAGCATAACAGCTCGCAGAGCATAACGCCACGAGCCATCATATCCTCCTTCCAGAAACCCTCTCCGAAGGTGTTCCACCTTCACCTCCTCGCCTACCCCTCACCCACGTTCAAATCGGCGCTCCCCCCGACGCCGCGAGAGAGCACGAGTCATCCTGGCGAGTGTACGCGTCACGCGTGTCTGTCCCTGCGTGGGGATACACGCTCTAGGAAGTGGATGAGACGCATGCAAGTCTGACCACCTGGGACGAGACTCTGATCAAACGAGACAGGTGATTTTTGGAGCAGCTTTCTTTGAGATTTGACAGTTTTTCAAATCATCATTTGTGGATAATTAAAAGAAAGAAATAGAAGTTTCTTTCTTAATAAAGTTGATTTCTTTTTTTAGATGAAGATTGATGAACTCATATGAAAGCTCTTGTAGATCAATAAGGAACAAGTGATTTTTGGAGCACATTTTTCCAAGCTTCCGCAGATTTTTAAAGCTCTGAAAAAAAAATGAGAAATTAATAAAAGAGCTACTTTTTTAATAGAATTGATTTTTTAAGATAATAAAAAAAGAAAGTTAGAAAAGAAAGATTTTAAGATTTCATATGAAATTATTTCTATTTCAATCTCAAAATGACTGTAAACTTTACAGTTTCTATTTAAAAATAATTAATTCAAACAGTCTATCGTTGCAAAAACGAACTCTCTACGGAAAAAATCGAAATATCAAATTTCTCGTTCGCGAAATAAATTCGAACGAGAAAAGCGACATATCCCCGAACTGCACGCGAATCGAAGGAAACAGGAAGAAGAGGAGAGAAAGAAGTGCATGCACACACGTATGCGATGCTTATGGTCGCGTGGTTGCATGTGTACAGGGGGAATGTTCGAGCGCGTGCACGTACATACATTACGTTTATACACAGATATTGCCGGCTTCCGCGAACTAGATCGGCCGAGCAGATATTAGAAGCGCGTCTGCCCCGTTGCCATTGCGGCAAGTGCTGGTCATTGTCCACCCGGC